AACCCATGCATGTTTCTTATTGCATTAATGGAAAGTGGAGAAAGTTAAAAAGAATAGTGGAGAAGCTAATAGGTTTTAAATAACAATTCACATTTATGGAGTCCTTACCATAGGGAGCACCTACCAGGTTCCTGTGCCAGTGGAGTGACAGACCTCAGTTTGTACCCAGCAAGGTGAGCCCCAGAGGTCATGCTTTTAACCAGCTACCCTGTGTGTCTAGAAAAAAGTGGAAGCTGCATTTGGAAAGGGAGATGGGAAGGAAAATGAGGGAAGTTAGATCTGAAGGAGAGTTGGAGAGAATTTGAGAGAGATTTGAGGGCCAGATGCTGTGAAGGAGGGATACAAAAGTTCTAGAGTTTTGCTTTACCTTATATGTAGGAATTTTGGGGTGTTCTTTGAGAAATTTGGTAAAGATTTAAATTGCTCACCAGTTTAAATTCAAAACCATTTTTGACGTGACACAGTGCTGAGACTTGCACGTGTGGTACCTGTGTTTTAGGTTACTTTTATACTCGTCTGACATTTACTCCTTGTGCTCTGGCTCATCTGCCAAAATCTGTGCTTGGTGCTGGGCAGACCTGCGGATCAAAGAGAACCAGACCCTGCCCCAGGGGGGCTCAGCTTATGAGGTGGGCAGGGTCCAGCAGACAAAGGTCCTTGAGCCTGGTCATCACTCTGTGGGCTGTGGGAGTTTTTACACAGGGGATGAAATTGAGAGAGTGAGAACCAGTTCAGGGTTCCCCATCCTGCTCAACCTTCTGAATCCCTGCCCTCTCTGGCCCTTAGAGGCTGGTGGCTAAATGGAAAGACTGATAAACTTGCTAGACGACTGAGGATTGAAGAGTTACCCCATTCAGGTAACACCATCAGATTAAAACTTTTTTTTTTTCCCTCTAGACTTTTTTAGTATGGGGCAAGGATAGAATGGGAAACGGGACTGCAGTGATGTGATTGACTTTTCAAATCTTACCACCTTGATGGCCCCTCCTGAACCCAGTTGTAGGGTTGGTCCTGGCTTTCAGAAAATATTTGCCTTCTCGATATGGACAAAACCAGTTTCTTTTCATCTTTGAGACTACAGGGGAGTCACTTTTGAGGTGACAGTGGAGCTCTACAGTTACTAGAATTCAGAGTATGATCAGCAGTTAGCCTTGAAGGCCCTTGGAGAGATGTTAAATTGGTTTTTCCCAGTCAGTCCAACACAGCTGGGTTTTCTATGCTGTTGGAAAAGGTTGTTGATGCTCAGTTGAACACCAGATTTTAGAGGCTGTATTATATGAAAATAGCAGATATTTAAGCACTGGACTCAACCCTGGGGGCTGAGAGGTACTTAGGGCTGAGACTACCGCACAGACCCCTGATCCACACCTGGAGCAGAAAGGCAGGTGAACCCTTGCCTGGCCTGTATGTGTGTTTATTCTATCTTTTCTATCACTATTACATTAGTGTACTTATTATTATGATTCTGCTGATTGCATACATTATAGGACTATACTGTAACGTAAATATTTCTTAAAAGTTCTAGCCTTTCAGTATAAGAATTGTCCTTTCTCAGAGTGAAATTTGGCCCGCTTAGCTGTCCATGCGGCTCTGCCGAGGGATTGCAGTCTTCCAGCCAAGTTGGGTCTTGTCCACCATGATCCAGAAGCCAACTTTCTGAATAAATCACAGAATTGCTCCAGAGTTGATATATTTACCCAAAAGATTGTCTTCTACTGCCCTGCACCCATAATAGTTGTGACTGTACTTTGCATTTTGCTGTTATTTTATGTAGTGTGGCTTTTCCCAACACATGCTCTGGGGAACACCAGGGTGGTGGGGTGTTCTGTGGAAAAGGAGTTTCCTGGGTTGAATAAGGTTGGAAACTACCTGCTTTTTGATGTGTATTCTCACATCAAATGAGTCTGAAGTAAAGACATCTGGGCAACTTGGTTTAATGCAGCAGTGGTCAAATTTGGTAGCCCACAGAATCATCCTGTTTGGTGCACCTTGAGAACCAGAAGCACAGGGGAGGAGCAGGGCAAGAGGTGGCTAGACCCTGGGTTTCTTAGGCCCTGGGGCAAAACTGAGTTGGAGAGTGGGGGCTAAGGTGGATGTTTTCAACTGGCCAGACCTGGACTGGACTTAACGATTATCGGAAACTGTCTAGAAAACTACAGGACCTGCCCAGGGTGCCACTAAGGGCTGGGAGAGGGAGATCTGTAAGAGTATGGCTGATGACTGTCTTTGGAGGAAAGTCAGCTCTTTTCTGTTCGTACCCACTGGGCTCAAATACACAGTAACCTGTCACAAAGAACATCAGTCTAATTGAGGACTTCCATAGTGGGGTGACTAGCATCCCACCAAACTTCATGTCCACTTGGAGTCTTGAAATGTGACCTTATTCAGAAATAGGGTCTTTGCAGAGGTAATTAAGGTGATGATCATACTAGATTAGGGTGGGCCCTAAATCCAACACCAAGTGTCTGTGTAAGAGGTGGAAAAGAGGCACACAGGGAGAAGGCCTTGTGAAGATGGAGGCAGAGATTGGAGTGATGTGGTTACAAGCCAAGGAACGCCAGAAGCCCCCAGAAAATGGAAGAGATGAGGAAGAACCCTCCCCCAGAGCCTTCGGTGGGAGTAAGTGTGCTGCCACCCTTACTTCGGACTTCTGGCCTCCAGATCTGTGGGAGAATTAATGTCTGTTGTTATGAGCCACCAAATTGGCATTGATTCGTGATGGCAGCCCCAGGAAATCAATACAACTTGCTGGTAGTGTCATCCTCAGGTGGGACAGGACTCCCCACACAGCCTGAAACTGACTCAGACACCTCCCGTCGATGAAAATGTGATGGATACATGTGAACCTGAGACTTGCTAATTTCTGCAGCAACAGTGGATAATTAGTGAGAGGCTGCATGACAGTCCCGAGGGCTCTAATGTAGCATGGAAGAGAAGAAGTTGCAGAGCAAAGGGGCAGTTTGAGGGACCCTGAGGGGTGGTGGGGTACAAGGAGGGCAGGTGAATCCCACTAACTCTGAGAGATGAGTCAACTAGAAAAGATGAGAGGAGCCTCGTCTTGGCAGACCCGAGAAAGGGTGACTTGCTAAAGGGACACAGCTGGGAGGAGGTCAGCAAAGATGGAGCCCCCAGGCTGGGGCTGCAGCGAGTTGCCAGATCTGGACCTCGAGGACTCACGCAGCCCTTTTGCAACTAATCATCTGTGCTCAGGGTCAGCCTGACAATCCAGTGGACTCGGGGTCACTTCTCATATTCCCAGAGCTCAAGTCTCTGCTCTGTGACCTTCCACAACCAGCTCCACCTCTCTTAGCCTGTTTTCTGATCTGTAAAATGGAGGTGATAAGTTTGCTTGTAGCACCTTGTGGGGGTTCCGTGAGATAATGCACACACAAGTGCTTCACCCGGTTCCTGGCACAGAGCGCATTCTCCCTTTGTACTGTTCCTGGTCCTGTTCATGACCTGTGAGCCCACCTACCAGCGTCCACATGCTGAGTGCTTACTACGTGCCTGACAATGCTGAGACCTGACATGATTTTAATTGTTGCAACAACTTCAAGGAAGCAATTACAAGTCCTGCTGACCCTTGACCAGCATGAGTTTAAACTACACAGGTCCACGTACACAGAGATTTTTTTTCAGTAAATCCTACAGTATTATGCTATCGGTTGGTTGAATCCTCCATGCAGAACTGTGGATATGAGGGACACCTGTAAAATTATATTTGGATTTTTCAACTGTGCAAGGGGTCCATGTCCCTAACCCATATGATATTCAGGAGTCAACTGTATTATCATTTTACAAATGAGAAAATTGAGGCTGTGGACAGGACATCAGCCAGGGTCCCCACAGATGGCAAAATCAGGCTTCAGAGTCAAGACTGACCACATCCAGAGTCCAGGCTTTTTACTACTGCATCTGATAGTGCACAAGGTGATTTTATGTGCTACAAGTATGGAATTTTTACTTCTAATAGTTACGTATCCATTCTATTTTCCATTAGAAGAATACAGGTTTTCTATTTACAGTAGTGATTAAATTTTCCTTTTGAAATAAACATTCAGTGCTCACTTCGGCAGCAAAAATCCCCAAATTGGAACAATGCAGAGAAGATTAGCCCCTGCGAAAGGATAATATGCAAATATGTGAGGCGTTCCTCGTTTTTACAATGTTATATTATATCAATTATATCTAAATGAATGAATGAATGAATGAAGTAAACTTATATAGTAGCATTCATAATAGCCTAAAGGTAGAAACAGCTCAATTATCCATCAACAGATGAATGGATAAACATGCTGTGGTGGATGCTGACAATGGAGTATTATTCAGCCATAAAAAGGAAGGAAGCACTGACACAGGCTATAGCATGGATGAACCTCAAAAACGATGCTCAGTGAAAGAAGCCAGACACAAAAGATCATGTATTGTATGATTCCATTTATATAAAATGTCCAGAACTGGCAAATCCATAGAGACGGAAAACAGATTAGTGGCAATGAGGGGTTAATGGGAGGTGAACACGGGGAGAGCCGGCTTCGTGGGTATGGGGTTTTATGTTGGAGTGATAGAAATGTTTTGGTATTAGATGGAGGTGGTGGTTACACAGCACTGCGAATATACTAAATGCTGCTAAATTGTTCACTTTAAAATGATTGCGTTTAAGTTATGTCAATTTCACCTCAATAAGGAAAAAATGAACTTATCTAAGTTTAAAGAAGAAAATTAATTTCCTTAAATGTTCCTTTATTTAAAGAAAAATATGAAGTAAATCATAGCACAGGGGGAGTACGATGGTGGTACTTAGAAAACATGGCACCATCTTATCCATTAAAAGCGCAAGGCATCTCCTTAAGGGCAGAGTCTGGCAGAGTCTGGCAGAGTCTGAGTCTTGCCCTCCTTTGTTTTTTTTTTCCCCCTGCAGCCAGCTCAGTGCTTAAGAAATACTTGTTGAGTTCAGCTCAGCCCGGCTTAGTTAATTGAGTTAAGGCGAGCTGAGTCGTACTGAATGCACCAGCTGGCTGGCCTGGAGGAGATCCAAGTTGAAGATGTTAGGAATCACACTAATTCAATAAGCGGCTGCAAGGTAGTCTAAGTGATGCGACCATGTGTTTCCTTACCCGACTTAGCTGTGTTCCGCCGGCACCTGGTAAGCCTTTCCTCCCCTGGCATCCGCTGTGTGTGTGTTTGCAGGAGGCACCAGGCAAGATAGTAGGAGAGAAGGGAAAAGGAAAACACAGTGGTCCTCAGGCTCAGCTGGAAGCCCCTGGATGGTGGAAGGGAGTGGAGAACTTCCTGGTCTGTCTACGTACAGGTGAGGCTGCAGTCTACTTCTCCCTTGTCCAAAGCACTCCTTGTGCACCTCCTGTAGCAATATAACCAAGAGGTCATGCCCTTGACTCTGATTGCCTGAGTTTGAAGCTTGGAGAAATTAATTCATCTCTCTGCACCTTCATCTCCTCACCTGTAAAATAAGGATGAAAATAATACCCCCTGCACAGGGTTCTGGGGAGGACTCGATCAAACAGTTCCTGTCAAGTGCTTAGCACACACTTTCGGGAGCATTGTAAGCACTCAGAAAGGTTAGCTGTGATGATTAACAGTGACCGGCACAGAGGAGAGGTGGATTTGAAATGCGTGGCAGGGCTGGTGCACAGAGACCAGCTTTCCAGACATGGGAGGACAGAGCAGAGGAATTGTTTGTAAACATCTTAAACAGAAGCACATGGCTTGCTCATGTAGGTTCTTCTGGGATGGTGATGTAAGCTCAGAGTATGAGGCGGGAGTAGCAGAATCTGGCTGTTTTTCTCCCTTCTGGCAGGATGTTTCCTACTGAGAGAGTCCCCAGTAGCTGCCTGTCCCCAGAGACCAGACAAAAAGCCACACAAAGTTTTCCTCTTTCTGCTCTGCTCTGGGAAGCTGCTCTATTAATGTTAAGATTCGCGTCCTTGGTTAACCAGTGATGTGTGCTGGAGGGTTGTATGTAGTGGTCTCTGTCCACAGATCTCCAACCCACCTGCGAAGCTGTGAGTGGAAAGGGCAGGACACGGGAGCCCAGCGGTGTGATTTCTCAGACTCTGCACTTTGTTGCGGCACATGTGGCCTTGGTCAGGCTCGTGCTTCTTTCTGGTTACTGTTCCTCATTTGTGACTGTGTGAGTGGACAGGGGTTGCAGAAAAATCAGATTTTCAGGTTTAAAAATATGAGGAGCGGTTTGTTTAAATAAAAATGTGCAAAGGTACATATACAAATGGACATGAGATTTGCCACCTGGTTGAAATAGGGGCAGTGAGGGGTCCTATAGTCCCAGCCACTGAGCTTCTGTCACGCGTCTTCCTTGCTCCCATTCACTGTCTTCCTCCCTCCAGCAGCACCCAAGAATGCACATTTTGAAAACCACCAAATGAATGAATTCATGGGGCGGGGGGGTGGGACTAGAGTCCCAGATCTAGATAGAGTATGAGGGGGTCCTGGAGGTGGTCCCCAGCTGCATGGAGGAGGTAGAGCTCGGATCTGTGTGCAGGTCTGCCTGGCCTTTCCTGGCAGCATGACGTGGGAGTGTAGGACACTCATAGTGATGGCTTTCTGCCCTCCCAGCATCCATTCCTCCTTCTGGTAAGAGCACCCCAGTATTCTTTGGGGGCCCACTCACTCTCACTCCGCCTGTATGGCTTGGCTAGGCTTCAGCAGTGAGCACGTGACTGGGGCTTGGGCAATCAGATTGTTCTGTTCTATCCCCCTTGCCATAGTCATTGGTTTAGCAATGGGCATCTGAACCTATCAGAACCCACCAGACCTGACCCTGGAACTTTTACTGAGGCAACCAAGAGAAAGTCTTGATTTGACTTTGCAAAAATGTAAAACAGGTAGAAAATGCCAATCTCAAAATGAAAACAAAACAGAGAAAGGCAGAGCCAAAGAGATGGGGAGAGGAAACCCTGGAGACTTAATGGAGAGCCTGGATCCAGCTATGCCTGAGCTAATACAGCCCCTGCTTCTCAGTTAAAAACTCCAGTACATTTCTGATCTAGCTTGAGTCCATTCAAGTTAAGAGTTTGTCACTTTGCAACTGAATCTTCCTGACTAGTACACATGGGCAAGTTATTTATCTCCTTTAAGCTTTGGTTCTCTCATCAACTAAGTGTCTCTAAAAATCCATGAACCTCACCTTTAAGTGGATCTATAAACACATGTATTCCATAGCAGCAGCAGCAGCAGCAGCAAGAGACTAGCAAGAGTGGTCAAGGACTTTGAATATTTATTAGTTCTAAGGGAAGCAAAACAAGAGTTGGTTAATATCAGTTCACTTTATTCTCTAAATGAGGCCGGGGGAGAGCAACAGACAAATAAATGTCCATTATAAACAGGAACAGAGAAAACAGGAGGAGGCTACCTACTAATGGGAAAAGGCCAGGGGAATGCATACGAGGCCTCAATTTTGGATTTTTTTCTATTAGATGGTGGGGGAGGGGTCCACAGGGGACTAAGGTTCTCACAGTTCTGCAGGTGGGGCTGAGCCCAAGGGAAACCCCGCCAGTTGTATAAGTCCCCTCCAGGCTCTTGAGACCAGGGGAAAATCCAGGGGAAGAGATGAGAGGAATTTGTCTTAGAGCAGAAGGTTCAGAGGCATGAGCTCTACAACGGTGGGTGAGCCCCCGACAAGCCACAGCCATTGACGGTCAACATCATGCACGTGGCCAAATCTTCCCTGGACAGACACAGGCTGGCCTTTAGTGGCCAGGAAGAGCTGTTTCTGGGGACTGCCATCTCGGAACACTATTGCGGTCTGCTCAGGAACCCTTGAAATCGAAAGCCCCAAGCTCCCCTTGTCACTGCCATCGCACAGAAATACCACCAGGGGGGATTTCCCAGGGAATTTTTTGCAACCACTCAAATGTTTCATTTCCCATTGTTTGCCAGCCCCTCTCGGAGCCTCAACTGTCAAAGCGGCAGCAAACACAGGCTGCTTTTCCCCCAGGACCCCACAACGCCTGCTCTTGCTCCGGCTCCACGTTGGGAAGCTGGCGTTGGCAAGATGTGATCCACTCGGCCAGGGAATAAGGTCTGTTAGTCAACTAGTGAAGCAAGTCAGCAAAGGGAATACTGGGCTCTCCCCAGCCCACCCTGCTGGGGAGGTACCGTCCTGTGCCACCCCCCCTGGTAATTAGTATAGTCATGGCAACTAATAATTGTATTTATAGAAAGAAATCCCTTCCACAAGTCCAAAGCACTGCCCGAAATATACAATGCAGCTGTTAAATTTTTGCTCTTTAAATATGAATTCGTATCATTTTTTTCCCTGATCCAGCGTATTTTAATGGGATTCTAAGTTGTATTCCATGTATCAGTGCTTAGAAAAGATCATCTTTATTGATTGATTGAAGACATCTGTTTTAGGCAGGCACTGTGCATTTTAGGGACCCAAATATTCTATGAAGGTGGAGAGACTTTAGGGAGGTTTAGGGATTTCAAGGCAACATGGGGTGGAGAGGGATAAACTGGGAGTATATCCAGGGGATGTTAGTCTGAGGGGTAGGTAGGAGTAGCCAGGTGGACACGTCCATGATCTCTCACAGATTGGCACTGAGCACATGTAGTATGCGTAACCCCAGGCACCCAGACAAGGCTGGGCACGTGTGAAACAGCCCGATTCTATGAGATTCAGGGTTAGTGAAGATACCTGGAAACATCCATTTGCCAGGGCCCACCCTCTGCATGACAGACGTTGCCCCATTGATGAATTTATTCATGTAGCCATTCATTTATTCATCTATTAAAGCCACAGATATTTACTGATTTCTTTAAGATATGCCAAGTCGAGGCTATATGCTGGGGACACAGAGGTGACCAGAATCAATCTGGTGCCTTTCCTTTTAAAGTTTCCACTCCAGCAGGGCAGACAGCCATTAAACAAATACCTGTGTAAAATGACAAAGAAATGTACAATACAACAAAGAACAATCGAATACACATATGAGAATCTTCCTGCCCCCTCTTTTACTGATCTCCCACTTTATGCCAAGTGCTGTGGGTCTCACAAATTTGAATCAATGCCTTGTGCAGCAGAAGCCCGAGGACCAAGCAGAACTCCTGACAGAAAGAAGCCGGGCAGCGGTGACAATGATGCTTTACAGTTTACGTGGCGCTCTTTACACTATGGGCACT